GTTTTCTTGGCTGTCCATGATATTCTCAGGAGTCTTCTCCAATCCCAAAGTTTAAAAATGTCAATATAGGAGGAGGAGATCCTAATGCACACAATCTAATTTGGATAACCACCCTGAAGAATTCTGGAATGAATGAGCCAACAAATGTAGCAAGTAGATGAAAATTAAGGATGACATGGCTTGCTTGCTTGTTTGCTATTAGTAATTCCTGATATGGTTCCCAACAAGAAATTTTATTTGTTAAAATTTATTAGAATAATTTATGATTATTAGAATTATTAGAAATTGACTATTTTAGTCATGTATATCCTGGATAGATGTCTGTTGTAACCCTGATAGCCTAAACAAGCTAGATTAGCGTGCTATGTTTTTGTAAGCAATCCTTTTCTAACTTACTGAACAGCTGTGGGGACAAAGGAGACTTTGAGCCAAAGGTATTGTCCCAATAATGGGATGAGAACAGCCCCCATTGATCAAATGACATCCTAATGCAGGCTTGGAGTTGCAGGCAATTCCATTATATTCCTCTGCCCCTAGCTTTGTATCCATGGACAAGGAAATGCTTTCAAAACACTGAAACATGCTTCAGAAATAGTGACATATAGCTGCCTATGCTTGAAAGGACAATCTGATCTCTTATTGGAAAGGATTTTTGGCTTGCCCAGCTCCCAGCAGCAAACTGATATAATTAGAAAAAGAAAGCCAAATGCAGCATTGCCAACCCATAACATTGGAATGTTATGGAAGGTAGCAGACATTTTCCAATTTGATGAGGGCAGAAACATGGCTGTGGAATGGGGAGACTCTAACAAATACATATGAGTAGGAAGAGGTATGTATCACTACCTGAAAGTAGTGAATTATTGGCAGAGTACTGATTGGCTGACAGTTCTCTGTCTTTAATTATTAGTTGGAAATGAGAATGCTAATTAGCTGGTAGTTGAAATGGAAAAGCTCTTTTTCTGGAAGAGCCCCATATATATGTGGAGTTGTTTTTGAGAATACTGTTTTTTTAAACAGTTTTAAATAGTTATATTTTTCTTTTAACAGCACAGGTGTTCATTTTATCAAAATTGCTGAGATTAGTTGTTCCTCTATTATAACAATTAAAAAACTAGAACCCAAGCCAGAATTCAGGTTTTGCTTTTAAGCACCTTAGATACACGTCTTGGTGATGATATAAATAGGATGCATAGGGAAAGGAAGGTTGTTACACTAAAGACAATAGTATATCCAAAGAGACAGAATCAGCCTACTTTGCCTCATTTTGAAAACTGAATTTACTGACCTCTCTACATCTGGTCTGTGTCAGTATCAGATATATTCCATCAAAATTCTACATTATTTGGTAAATTTAAAAAAAATTCATTTGTTTACCTATCAAACTCCCAGCTTTCCCAAAAGTTGGATGCTATTTGATTATGATTATGTGCCATCAAGTTAGTGTCAACTCTTACCACTACATAGATGTACAGTATTTTCTGCAGGAGGATCTGTACCCAACCTGGCCCTTCCAGATCTTCCAACAGTGCACCAGTTACTACCGTAATTGGTAGTATCCGCCATGCCACTAGCTGTCCCCTTCCTTTCTTTCTTTCTACCTTTCTCAGACTTCTCCAAGAGCTAGGTTTTTGCATAATGTGTCCAAAGCATGATAATTGGAGCCTGGTCATTTGTGTCTTGAGTGAAAACTCTGGGTTGATTTGTTCAATGATCCACTTGTTTGTTTTCTTGGCTGTCCATGATATTCTCAGGAGTCTTCTCCAATCCCAAAGTTTAAAAATGTCAATATTCTTTCTATCCTGCTTCTTCAAAGTCCAACTTTTGTTTCCATAGAATGTCACAAGGAAAGCCTGCAGAATTTTGATCTCTGTAGGTATAGACACATCTGGCATCCTAATGTCTTTTCCAAGGCCTTCATTGCTACTATACCAAGTGCTAGTCTGCAGCATATTTTTGACTGTTGGTTCCTTTACTATTGATAGTTGATTCTAAAAGGCAGAAGCTATCCACCACTTCAATATCTTCATTGTCAGTTCTAAAGCTGATTACTGTACATGATTGATACAAGCAAAGGCCTTTCTATAGTCAGTGAAGCACAATCTGACTTTTTGGTATTATTTGGTTTTCTCAGTTATCCAACATGCTTCAACAATAATGTCTTGTGTTCTTCACCTTGAACCTCTGGCATCCCTACATCTCCATGTAGAGCTATAATCTGTATTGGATGATCCCTAAGCATTATTTTGCTACCTTGTGAAATTAAGGATATTGTACAATAGTTGGCCCTCTCTGTTAAGTTTCCTTTCTTTGGTATTGGTAAGTAGATTGACTTCTTCCAATCTATTGGCCGCTGTGTCTTTCTCCAGATTTGTTGGCATAGATTAACTAGAACCTTTACAGATTGTTCTGTTGCTTGCTGTATTTCTGTAGATATTCTATCAGTTCCTGTAGTCTTCTGGCTTTGTAATAACCAGAGTGCTACTCTAACTTGATTTTCTAGTACTAGAGATTCTTGAAAGTTGGAAATATTTCCTAAGGTATTTTGAGTGTTGACATCTCTACTTGACAGAATTTCTGTCCACTCCTTCCATATTTCTTTGGTCTTCTTTGAATCAGTTACAGAATCTGTCCATTGATGTCCTTTATCATACCAATTCAAGGTTGGAACTACCTTCTGAGTTAAGAGATCTTTGGGAAGACTTTCCTTGTTTTCCATGTTTGTTTCCATGTTTGTTATCTTTAAAGATATTGTAATATTGCTTCTTGTCTCTTCTAACAGCTCTCTGAAATTCTTTGTTAAGTTCCTTCCTGAGATCTTTGTCTTTCTTGTCTTTGGATTCTCTTCTTGACAATTTCTGTTGTATGTTTTGTCATCCAGCTTGCTCTCTCCTTTTCTCTGATCTTTAGCAGTTTCTTTTCTCATTCATCCTTAGCAACTTCTTTGATTTCATTCCATAGTTCTTCTGCTTCCTGATTAATGACATTCAGGCTTCAAAGCAATTCCTAATGTTTTCCTTGAAAATGGTAGGTATATGCTCAAGTTCATATTGTGGAAACCAGTTGGCTTTCTACTTACATTTTAGTTTAACTTGGAACTTGCACACGAGCAATTCGTGATCTGTTTCATAGTTAGCCCCTTGCCATTTGCTGTTAAAACTGAGCTCTTCCACCTCATTCTACCAATATTATAGCCAATTTGATTTCTGTGTACTCTGTCTGGTAATGTCCATGTATATAAGTGTCACATTGGTTGTTGGAAGATGGTGTTAACAATGAAGAAATAATTGGATTGACAGAAATTGGTAAATTAATCTCCTGCTTCTTTTCAGTTCCCTAGGCCATACAGTCCAACTACACTTTCCTCCTTAATATTTCCAACCTTGACATTCCCATCTCCAACAACAAGCAATACATCTTGCTTGCATGTTCTATCAACTTCAAATTGAACTTGACCATAAAACTCATGAACCTCCTTTTCTGAATCAGTGGCTGGAGCATAAATTTGGATAATCATATTAAAAGGATTTTCCACAATGGGTAATTGCTATTATTTGGTCATTGATTACAGTGTAGTCAAATACTGTTCTTTCTATACCCTTCTTAACTGTGGAAACAGTGCCATTCCTTCTTTGTTTTCATGCCCTGAATAATACAACAGTATGATCTTCTGACTGAAAATGTCCAGTTCCAATTCATCTCAATTCACTGATCCCTAAGATGTCAACGTGTAGTGACTGAGTTGAGCTTGCCCGTGTTCATGCTTCTTAGTTCCGTGTTCCCATGGTAATTCTGTCTTCACAGCTTCATATTTTCTTTTCCTGCATGGCAACATCAGTAACTAGCCATCCTGAAGGCTTTAATCTAGCCATGTTATAACACCATTAATACTCTGAAAGATCTTCAGTTCATCCTCAGTAGCATGTTGAGTGCCATCTGTCCTGAGGGGGTTCAGCATCCTGCACTATATCTTCAGTCATTTTATATTTTCTATCCAGGTCATGTTCTTGGTAAAATGCAGGAGTGGTTTACGATTGCCTTTTCCTGCACATTATGAAATCCCTTTGCCATTGTTACTAAAACAGTTTTCTATCTCCAATGTCTCTCTATAACACTGTTGCCCAATATTGGTGCTGGCTTGCTTTTGCTGGGCAGCTAGGATGATCTTCACACCTTGCGTTGACCCTCCTGGGATTATATACACTTGGCATACACTCCTGGTATTCCTTACTCATCCCTCTGAAGAACATCCCCTTCCTTCATGCCGAGTGGCATGGAGAAAAGTAAGCTGACAACATAGCTTCCTTCAATAATTTCAACAACCTTTTTATGGAAAGTTGTTGTGAAAAGTTGTTGCGAAGCTGCCTGCAGCTTCAAGGGACTCTGGAGGAAGTGGATTATCTGGAGCCATTGCAGTCAGAGTTGAGGCTGGAATACAGAGATAGCATTGGTCACACTTGTGGATGACCCCTAACTTTCTTGATGTCTTAGTGATTTTTAGTACCATTGATCATGATATCAAATCAAATCTTTATTTTGGTCATAGACCGACATAAGGAAGGTGGGTACAGTCATTAAAAAACATAAAGGATATCTCGAGTAAAAATAGGAATCTAAATCTAAAAAAAAATATGAAAATCTAGAAGATATAAAAGATACATGAATCAAAAACTAAAAGTATATATAAAAAGCAAGACTCTAAAAGAAGGGGTAGGAGCATTAGATGGGTATAGAGGAGCATAAAAGGTTAGTATGTGGAAGATTATATCTATCAAGTTACTTATTAGAGTTACAGAGCACTCTAATATGGCAAACTAGGTGCTTATTAAATCTAGTTTATAGCACAGGTCATCATCCAATGGATTTTGAGTGCTTCTGCAAGAATTTCGCAATACTGTATATTGTAGCAGGGTTGGTATCTCAAACCAACAGGGTCACGTAAAACTGTCCTGTGTGCCCTGGGTATTTATGCAGTAGTGGTGAGATGGGGCTAGTCCGAATGTAGCACAGGCACTAGAGAAGCGCATGCTCTGTTGTTTCTGTGTGTCCAGAGTCACAGAGGTATTGTCTCTCCGTTTAAGGAATTTTCCTGTATCATCCTTCAAGGACAGCTGAGGGGAGGGCATGACATCATGCCAGAGTAAAGGCCCTTCTGATTGATCATGCCCACTAAGGGGGTTGGGAGTGGGAGGCTCTGTTCTTCAGTGGTTTTCCTACTTCCTCCAAGGCCAGTTTCAGTCAATGTTGGTGGGGGATAGAGATCCAGTGCTAGGTCTCTGCTAAGTGGTGTGCCACAGGGCTCATCTCTCTCCCCACTTACTACATGAAATTGCTGAAGGTTATTTCCTGGTACAGGGTTCAGTTTCATCAATATGCTGATGGGGAGGAACTGGCTTCAGCTCAACCCTGACAAGACTGAGTAGTTGTGGGCTTTAGACCCCTTGTATCTGGTGATTTTCCATCATTAACTCTGAATGAGGTTACGTTTCCCAAGCAATGTTGGTGCATAATCTGGAGCTCCTCCTGGAGTCAAGGCTCCTGTTCAAGGAACATGTGGTAACCATAACCAGGAGAGCCTTTACACAAATACATTTTGTGCCCCAATTGTGCCTATTTCTAAATTGGGAGACACTGCTCATGGTCACTCACTATTTGTCATCTGTTCCAGAATCCAGTGGCATGTGCAGTGTTGGGAGCACTATAGTACTCCCATGTAACACCACTGCTATGTGAGCTCCAATGGATCCCAGTAGTCTTCAAAGTGCTGGTTGTCACTTTTAAAGCCCTGCATGGTATTGGGCCAGGTTACTTGGACCGCCTCTCTCTGATAGTTTCTGCCCATCTGGCAGGTCAGCAATGCTCTAGATCCTCTCACTGAGGCAGGTTCACTTGGGGGGTGCTGTGAAGCAGGCATTTTCAATCATGGCATCTGCAGACTGGTTTCTGAGACATGGGCAGCCCTGACCCTACCAGCCTTTCAGAAGGCTTTGAAGACCTGGTTCTTTCTCCAGGCATTGGAGCTAGGCTGTTAGTTACTAGAGCTCTGGTATAGATGTATGTAATGAGTGTCTTTTGAAATTTTTAATGAGGGGAGTCCTCAACTTGGGTTTTTTAATGTTTAATGATTGTTGATTTATCTATTTTTTGTTCGCCGCCCAGAGTTTCACAGGATAGATAGGTGGCCTTATGAATTTGATTAATAAATAAAAATGAAATTAAAAATGGATTATGAAAGGAAAAAATCAGTTATACATATACATTCAGTGTGTAACTTTTTAGAAGTTAATGTGTATGTGCAAAGCAGCCATGCTTTCAGTTTCCTAAGCAGTTTTGACACATACAGGTAGTCCTCGCTTACTGACCACTCATTCAGCAACTGTTTGAAGTTATGACGGTGCTGAAAAAGGAGACTTATGACTGGTCCTCCAAGTTGTGACCATCGCAGCATGCCTGTGATCACATGATCGTGATTCAGACACTTGGCAACTGGCAAGCATTTACAATGGTTGCAGCATCCCATGGTCATGTGATTGCCATTTGCAACCTTCACAGCCAGCTTCTGGCAAGCAAATTCAGTGGGAAAGCTGGCAGGAAGTTGCAAGTCATGGTCACGTGGCATCATGCTTAATGATCTGTGGTGACTTGCTTAACGACTGCAACTGGAACTGTCGTAAGTCACGTGTAGTCACATGATTTTAACTTTATGACTGCATTGCTTAGCGATAGAGTTGCTGATCCCAATTGTGATTGGTAAGTGAGGACTACCTGTATAAGAAAGATTACAGGTTGATTTCTGGGTTAGATTTCAGAAACTCCCTTTCACTTTCAGAAGCCCTGTTTGTTCACATTATGATAGAATATTCAGCTATTCTCTGTGTATTTGAACTCATTACTGCTTTTATTTTCAACTGTAATGTGTACTGACAAATAATTTTTTTCCTGTGGTAATGATAGCACTCCTGTTTTATCATTTTCTTTTCCACTTTTGTACATTTTTAAGTTTAAATACGTGTTTGCTTAGTCATAATTTGAATAAACAGTTTGCACTTAGGTATATTACTGTTTTGTTATGGACTTTCAGTTTATAATAGTAATGGTGTCTTTTATTTTTTAATTTCTTTACAGAGCCTTGCCCAAAATTCTCCAATAATTTAGTGGTGGGTGATATTGATTTAAATAGAACAAAATGTTCAATGTACTTCTATTTCAGTATATAACTATATTGTTCATTCACAACCAGTGCTTTGTATATGTGTATGTTTGATCTGGGTATTCTTTTATGCTTTTTTTCTAAAAGTAAGAATTTGTAATCAAATAGAAAACAATTATAACATGAAAATCATGTTTTTATATTCAATTTTAACTGCAGGAAAGTAGAGTGCTACGAACGGTACCTCTTCTAACTGCTTGTCTTCCTGAAGACAAATGTAAAGTCTTGATTGGCCGACGCTTCAGTGAAGACAGGTAAAGAGCACTGTTAAAATAAGTTTTCTTTTCTTTGAGAACAGTAGTCATTAAAGCAATATATTTTTAGGTTCCTACTTCAATATTTTATAGTGCACATATTCATAATAAACCTTAAATCCATTAATGTCCCAAAATGCTTAAACAACAAGAAAAGTGTTATAATTCCAAGCAAATTATAAATTATACCTTTCTGTATCTTCACAATCTACCTTTCATATCTTTCCACATCCTAGTGATCTGTACATTATGAATTTATTTTAGACTGACTAAATTATTTTAGGCTGGCTTTTAGTTAGTTCATTTCCAATAAATCCAAGCTGGTCGTATCTGATTTCTATTCAGTATTTCTATTCTGTTGATTTCAACAACAGTATTAATGATGGCTTCCTATTAATTATGGTCATTTGTAAGATTCTAATCTTTACATTTTATATGATATTTCTCCTTTATTCTGCCCTGTATTCTGTACTCTCAAAGTCTTCTATGTAGGACTGAAGAAACTTGTTTTTTGTTTTTTCTTTCTAAAAGTTTGGTGCACATAGTTGAGGATAAATAAATAGTAATTGGCATTGGTCATTCCTCCAGAGTATCTCATACTTGACAGTGGCTCTTCTAATCATGATTACTGTTTGTTTCTTCTTGTAACAGGCAGTATGCCTTTCTACATCAGTTGCTGGAGTCTATGTTTGAAGGTGGTATTGTACCCGTGTCCTGCTTTGGACACTCCTGGGTCTGACCAGGTTGGCCACTGAATGAATTTAATGCAAGGCCAGATTGGAATGTTGTCCTGATCAAGCAGGACTTACCTTAAGCAGCTCACATCACAAGTATCTAGCAGTTACTCTCACTAGATATTTTTCTGGTGTTTTACTGTTTTTTTCACTGGGTTTTTCATAGCCCAGGATATATAATTTTCTAGCTTTTGGTCAGCATACACTAAGCTTCATTTCTGGCCTTTTGGTGCTCTGTGCAGCCAGCAAATCATGTTCAGCATAGTCTGGATTTTTCATTTATTTTCTTTCATTTTCAGACTTTCTAACTGCAGTGAAACTCTAGCTCAGTTTATCCTACTTTTATTCAGTTACTCATGCTTCCTAGTCAAATACTAGGGAGAGAATTGCCATTTCTGGCTTTCTGTCATCCTGAATTATAACAGGTTTAAGGACAAGATATATTTGTGCATGGGATGGAGATAATAAATGTAATGCCACTAGAAAAATAAGATGAAGTGTTTTTAGAAGTACCAAGAAAATGAAATAAAACGTACCTCAGTCTATGTGGTAGTAAAGCAGCATTAAATGTACCCAGAGATCAGATTTCAGGCTTCATAACCTGTATACTATTGCTCAGTATAATCTTTTGGCAGAAATCTATTCAAGGAAATGATACTAAATTCATAAACTGCTATGTTTCTTTCTATATTATCTATGTATTGTCATACTTAATTTAATGTGTGCCATAAATAAATGAAGCTATGACTTGTAATATATAATACTTAATAACCAACAAGTAAGTGCTTGTTCTATTATTTATTTTGAACACTGTATCAAATAATGAAAGCCCTTATTTAGGGAATTTATTTTCTTGTAGATTTATAATTATTTTTGCAACCCAAATTTTCATCATAATTACTATTTCAGTTGAGGAGAAGATGATCTAATACTTATTCTAAAATAAATAAGTCAACGAATTAAAAAAAGAGTCATTTTGTCAGCCATAAATTACCTTTCTGGAGATTCTAAAATGATTTTGCTTTTGCCTGAGCAATCTTTTGAATTGAGTCAATGCTTTGATATTGTTATTAATACTATCATAATTTTTTATTTTTTTCAAATTATGAAAATAATATGGGACTGTTTCATCATCAGTCCTTTCTTCTACTGTTTTTTGCACTTCTTTCTTGGTGACTCTTTTTCAAAGATAGACAAATTAGTATAAAGTTTTAATAAGCTTGAAAATAAAATGTATTGGATATGTATGTAAATATTTACAGAAAACAAAAAGTTCATGCCTAATATAGTAAAAAATGTGACTTGAGACTAAGGGAATACACATACTCATCTAGACAATACAAATATACTTTCTAAAAATTCATTACTGATCAAAATCAATTTGAGAAATTATCTATTTAATATTTACAGGATTTATAAGTAGCTCCAATGAAGCCAACTGTGAGTGGCATATAATTCCCAAATCTATAAATTGAAAATAAACAAGATAAATATAAATATAAATAACATAATCAAAAGTGAAAGTGAAAATCATAAATCATAATACAACTAAACATAAACCTGGTACCTAAACATTGTAAACCAAAGAACCAACTTATTATGCAGAGGAATAGTCACCACAACTATCTCAGTACACGACTGTGTTTTTCTTAGAGATGTCTTTCCAAATAATCAGTCTAAAAGCTTCTGAGTGGTATTGCTCAGCTTTCCCTGCATACAATGTTTTCGATCCTAATTTAACTTCCTTTTTTATTCTGTAGTTCTAGTTGTTATTTTTTCTGAGTATACTAATTTCCATATGAATATCCTCCAGAGGAGTAGCCATGTGAATGTATTGCAGCAAAAACTACAGCGAGTCTTGTAGAATTTGAAAGACTAGCACATTCCTTATGGCAAAAGCTTTGTGGATGCAAGTCAATCAGCTTCATCCGATGCTGGAAGATTATTCTCAGTTGACAGTTACATCAAAGCATAAATGTAAAAAGAAATGTGAACAGTGAAATCTGAGAAAAATGGAAGTGCTAAAACTACAAATTGTGATAATTACATGAAAGCTTAAATGAATGTAGAATAAATACAAAGACCATTCACAACCCTCTATTAATTATAACACAAACATATTGGCATCACTTCACAAGTCATCTTTGCATATATCTGTAATAATTATCATAGTGTAGTCCACTGTTCTTACATCTAACAATTACGTTGCTAAAGTATATACTGTATTGTTATATTCTGGTTACAGCAACTCCCCACTTACCCAGAAATTGTCACATTACTTTGCTGTTATGGCCTGTTTGCTCTGTGTAATCCATAATAGCAAAGCCCCAATTAGTTCTTGAGATGTAATACTTGATAAAAATTACAAAACTTCTTTTGGAAGATAATGGAAGATTATAGATAAGTAGTTCCATCCAACTGAATGGAAAATACAAATGAAGATTCCTGGGGTTCCAAAGCAATTAGCCGTCTCAGCTGGTGGCCTTGTAAGCAGGATCAGACCTGCTCTATACTTGGATGAATAGATTGGTGGGAACAAGACAAGAGAATATAGAAAAAGTGATTGGGCCTCTCAGAAACTTAAAAATGAATGAGAATGGTGACTTTTTGGTGAACATTTGCTTAGAAAAAGGTCTATCACAAATAAATGGGTTTAACCATAAATTGATTCATATGAACATATGAAAATAAATGACTTAACAAATATTACTTATTTGATGGTTTCAAAGGGGATGAGAGATTTTGAATTTGGGAGAGACCATTGTTTGGGTGGTGCCAAGAATGGATCTTGGGGAAAAAAAAGAAACAAATGAAAGTAGAATGACTGCAGGAAAAGAAAGTGTGATTCCTGTATGAAAAAGTATTAGAATACAGTTTAATCTCATAACAGAATAAATGAAAAGTGAGTATCTGTGGAAGCTGTTTGGACAGAGTAAAAAAAATTATTAAAAATTAAGAGATATTGGTGAGAAGTATAAAGAAGAAAGGGCCAGGAATGAAGTGGTAGGTGCACATGGTAGTAGCAGAGAAAAAATGATATGGAGAGATATATCAAATGAGTTTCTATGAACTAGTTTTAGCTATTTTTCTTTTTCTTACCTCATGCCTTTATTTTTTACTTACTATTTCTTACTCCTTTTCTGTGCTTTCCATAACACTGTTTACCTTAAAAAGGAATAGCATGAAGGGCATATTGTTTATGTATATAGACTAGACTAGGAAGTTGAAGAAGATAGTGGCAATCTATTTCCATATGATTGCCAAGAAAATTGCATGGGTGTGTCCATGCAGTCCCCAGGAGTCAAGCTTAAATTGTGGATATCTTTACTTTTAATTTTTAAAAGGCTATTCCTAACTGGCATAATATGCCATGTTTAGAATATAGATATTTTGGTTGGTGGGACAGCTATGATTGGAAAAGATAGATGTCAGGTATTTTTACTTGCCAGAAAATAATTAAAGCATTTTTTAAAAATTATGTATATAGGTACCCTGAATTAGCATCTATATGCAGAAATTCAAATACCTTAATATTGTATCCTGGAGTTGGAGCAACAAATTTGGAAGAAATGGATTTGAGTTCCACTAATTCCTATGTGATCATAATCATTGATGGAACATGGAGTCAAGCAAAAGATATATTTTTAAAGAACTCCCTTTTTCAAATGCCTAAGCAGGTAAGATTTAAAGTTTTTATGCTTAAAGTTCTGTGTTTGGGTCAGTTCTTCGTAGTATTTAAAATACTTGTAATTCTACATTCATGCATACTTTTTCTTAAATTTAATGTGCCTCCCTCTTCCATATATACATGCAGAGGCTTTGTATCTATCCTTTGAAAAACTTTTGATTTAAATCAAATCCTTATAACATTTTAAAAGCTTAACAGTTTTAATATGCTGTTGCCTTTAATTTAAAAAAGGAGAATATAGCTATTTGCTTAACTATTTGTTTTGGTAGATCTGCCCATTCTTCAGGTAGATGACTTGTCTTAGTTATCCAAAGTAATCTTTTTTTATTGGATAAGAACTGATTTTATGTACAGACCAGTTTCTGTATCCATGATGAACTTACAGTGTGGATGATATGTCGATACTGTAGGCATAAATATATGATCATAGGTCTAATCATGCACTCTTTCACTCTGGAATAGCAATAAAGCATTATCTGAATTGGTGTATGTGAATAAGCATAAGTTAATAATAAGTTTTGTTCTGTATGTTTTCTCATTAGCATATCTCTAGCAATGGAAATAACACAAAGATAGTGGTGACAGTTAACTGAAAGAAAAGATAACCAGCTAATTTATTTACAAGGCAAAGGAAGGCTATGGTCTTGATCATTATAAGTTTAGCTGTGGACATTTTGTACCTGATGGCAAATGAAAGCTGCTAGCATTTTTGCAATTTGAATTGCTCTTTTAGAAAAGAGCATAACTTGCCCTTTTGAAAATGTGTTTCATGATTGATATGTAGGCAGTAGGTCCTACTGTGATATCATAATAACAATTTAATGTCTTCCACATAGAGCCTTTATTGGAATGATATTGCATGACAGGATTAATTTTGACTTTTTTAATAATGTTGTACCAGACTGTGTATTTTTGTGGTATTGCATTTTACTTTCATCAACTAGGTGCTAATTTCACTGGCTGATAACATGTGACAATTTTAGATTTTCATTATGTTCATCAAAATAATGTATGTCATAAGATGAAGAATTGTCATTACTTTAAAGATCTTGAACTAACTTCACTTCAGTCATATTTGGACCCTCAAGAATAATTCTAATTCATATAGTTTTAAGAAAGATCAGATCATTATCCAAGTTGCAGGTAAGCCTTCTAATTCAGGACATGTATTTGCCTTGTATTCTTAACTTCTATTAGGAACATACTAAAGGGAAAATAAGGAATTAGTTTTAGAAATTATAGTAACAGTAGTGCAATATTATTAAGAGGAGGTCAGCAAAGTGACCATGGTCAGATAAGGCAACAGATAGCTAATGATATCATTATTCATGATAGACAGTTACATCATGTTCCAAATGTTGTACATGGTGACATCATCTTTATTCTGCTTCAGTTCTAGAGGCAATGTTGGTTTACAAGTAAAGAGCTTTTAAGAATTGTGAAATAAAGCTGGATACAGAATCTAATCATACTATTAGAAACTAGTTTTGGGGAGCAATATTGTGCTACTCTGTTACCAAGATTTATTTATTTTTAATCTGCACTCAGTCGTTACCGACTCTGCAGTGACTGCTTGGACGAGTCCTTGCAGTTTTCAAAGCAATTGTTTCAGAAGTGGTTTGCCAGAGCCTCCTTCCTAGAGAGGACGGTCATAAATTTATATAGAAAATAAATACAGCATAGGAAATAATAGTTTTAATTCATTCTTAGCCCATTCAGTATTAGAACTATATTTAGGTTCCCCTTGATGAGGCACTTTTCATTGCCATGAAAATTCATCTGCCAGGCCCAGTATCAGAAGAGGTTTCTGACCATTCATTGTCATCTATGATAAACTCTTTCAGCTATTGAAACATCCAGAGGAGACCTCAGGAATGAGATAAAGCAAAGAATTGGGTCCATTTCACTTTCAGAAATGTGGACAAAGCTGTGTAGCTTTGCAGCACAGCTTCAAAGACAAATGCACTTCACTCAAAGCATTGTCAAAGTGAAATCCCCTTCAGAACTTTACACAGCTGTTCTGTTTGAAAGAATCAACCAGTGGTCCAGAAGAATTAGTTTTTATAAGGTTAAGACATAAGAAGAAAGAACTAAATTCTAAGTTAAAATGGTTGATATTGTATCATTTAAAAAAAACATTAATTCCTCTTCCTTACCAAAATCAACACAGGGGTTTTTTAAATGTTAGAAATACAGGTGCAATTTTCCAGCTATGCCAGAATGCTTCAGGAAAGGAAACTTCCATGTAAGTAAAGCAAAGTTTAGAGCCATGATATACAAGTTATTGAATCACATTCCTTGTTGCTGGTCATAAGAGAATCACTTTGGACTGGTAATTCAAGTTTTGGACTCAAGCTTGGATGACTCCACTTCAGTTTCCATTCTCAACAAAAAGTCCATTCTCTCTCACTCCAAGCTACTCTACGGAGTTATTGTGGAGAAAGTTGAATAAACAGAGTGATATCTACGCTGCCTTAAGTGCCTGAAAGAAAGATAGTAGAATGAACAAATGAGAGAAATTGTAAGGGGCAGTAGCTTCAACAATGTGATTGGATCATTCTTACTTGAATTTTTGTTCAGTAACCCACTAATACAACTAAACTGGTTTTCTGAGACTGTGGCAAACATTGCAAAGACTGGCATACAGGAAAATAACAGACTGCTTTATTGCACTTCAGGTTCATATCTGAATTTTTAATACTGCTGAAAAACTGTCCAGAAAGGACTGGAACTGTCCAGAAATCTTGTGCCATTGGCTGATTGACAAGGAAGCTATTTCATGTTTGTTTGTTTGTTTGTTTGTTTATTTATTGTATTTATACAGCCGCCCATCTCGCATAAAGTGACTCTGGGCAGCGTACAACAATTAAAAACAAATACATAAAAACAATCTCTTCAGCATCTTATTTCAACGACTCTTAACCTTAATAGTAATAATACCAATTTAGCCATCACAATTGACAGTAAGACATAGACTGTCAAACATATACCATATTTTTTGTAAATTTCTTTAATTACTTTATTCTATACTTTGAAGGTGAAACCTTAGAAACAGCATTAAACGATGAAAACAGAGAAATATGAATTGTTTGCAAAATTCCTGATAATTATATTTTTAAAATATAATTTACTTATGAAAAGAAACATTTTGCTGTTGTCAGTAAAAGTTATTGGTGCATGAAACACAGTTACTTTTATAGCCTGAGAGATCAAATAGACTTAAAAAGCATGTTCCATGTCTTGTTTCTTTTAATACAAAATGTATATTATTGCACTATAGTAATAGTTAATATTTAGATTACTGCAGTATTGTATCTGTGTGTGTGTGTGTGTGTGTACACACACACACATACATACACACTGTAACTATAGTGTTATACTATAATAATAGTGTTCCTTACAATTGGCAGTACTTCTTGTTTTCTCTAGGGAATTACCTGTTTTCAAAATAAGTTCTCATTTTCTGCCAACATGTATATACTGTATATGTGAAGTAATTGAAGAAAGTTCTTTAAATAATTTTTATTAATAAACAATTATCATATAAAATGATAATGTGAGATGGGCGGCCATATAGATGTGATAAATAAATAAATAAATAAATAAAATCTTGGGTTTGCCACAAATCACACCAGTGGCAAGAACACTGGAATGAAAAGGCATGTTTGATCTGCAAACATCTGTAGAAATTTGTTTAATTTCTAGTCATTGCTAAAAGTAGCAATAATTGGATTGTATCCTTTCATGACATCTGTATCTATGATTCTATGTGCTGTTACTTTATATTTTGTATATTCGTTTTTATTTGTTATGTGTTATGAAGTGGAAGATAGGCCAAAAATAAAAGTTTTAAATAAGTAGTAAACCAATTAGTAAGTATTTTTATATACTTAATTGCCATTAATATTACTGTTTTAAACAATCTGATACAAAAATTTTTTTTGTATCTTGACATAGACCAAATGGAAATATTTATGATATTACACATACAGTGGAACAGATTATTAGAGGTAGAAGGAAGAAATAGAAATAGTTGTAGACCACTTAACTCAGCATCCAGGAATCTGATTGCTCAGTTACAGTATCTTCTGACCTTGTGTCAATATAAATAAGTAAACCTAAAAGACTTACTTTGCTGTCTCCATTTCATCACTTAATAATCATCCAATACCATATTAATGCATCTGCTCTAGAAAATTTTGTTTTCCAAACCTCAGAGCCCTGTTGTAATAAATTTGCAGAACACTTTGAAGATAAAATTTCTTGTCTTCATGATGATCTAAATGCTACTATTGTTATAGTTCTAAACAAGGTGTGCAATGCACCATTTCATCTAATTTATGGGATCATCATAATTCCATAAATCACATAACTATATCCTCAGTCTCTCTCTCTCTCACCCAAGACCTGGCCCTTTTTATCCTACCTTCTTGAGTTAACAGACTTTTGGCTTCTCTTTTATTGGCCTTAAAGATTTCTGCTGTCTATCCTTTGCTTACAAAACAGCTCTCTATGTTGTGCAAATCACAGGTTTTTGTCTCACCTATATCAGTCCTTATACCACCTCTCTGTCTATGTTTACTTCCCTTTCCTACTTCCTAGGCTTTCTGTAAATTATTGTTGATATTTAATTAGTATTAGTTTGTGTAGTCATAGACCAAAAACCAAATTAAAATGCAAAATATCCATCATAAAGGTCCTCTTCATACTAGAAACTAAGCACCCCAGTTATCCTTGATAAATTATTTTAGGGATGCCAGCTCTATATTTGACATTGGGCAATAGCACGGTGAAGGAATCTGAGCTCCAAGAATGAGATTATTAAATACAGTCACAAAATCAGCTGGATGAAGAACAGAGTCTGTACATCTACCTTTACACATCAGCAGAGCCTGCATATTTGGCAAATAAGGAGCACTGAAAATGAAAACTGACATATTTGCTGCCACTACCCCTTCTCAGAATTGTTTGATGGGATTTTAATATTGT